CGGTGTTGGCCGAGGCCGGTGCCGACGGCATTATTTTACATGCAAGCCACGGCTACATTATCAACCAGTTTTTGTCTCCCCTTATTAACAAGCGCACGGATGAGTACGGCGGCACCCTGGAAAACCGCGCCCGCTTTGTCCTCGAGATTGTGCGGGCCATCCAGGCCAAACTGCCATCTGACCGCTTCGTCATCGCCGCCAAGCTCAACTGCCACGATTTCATCGAGGGCGGCACCAGTTTTGCTGAAATGTGCGTCGTCGCCAAGTGGCTTGAGCAGGCCGGCGTCGACTTTTTTGACATTTCTGGCGGTACCTACGAGTCGCCCGCCTGGCGCGGCAACATTATGACAGAGCTCGGCACGCGCCCTTCGCAGCGACTCCGCGGCAGCTACTTTATCGAGTGGGCGCAGGAATTGAAAAAGGTGCTGTCGCGTGCCGTCATTGGCACCACAGGCGGCTGGCGTGACGGCTTCCGCATGGCCGAAGCCGTCGAGCGCGGCGACATTGATCTTTGCGGTCTGGGGCGCCCGCTGCGGGCGGATCCGCACTTTGTGCAAAAGGTGCTGCGCGGCGAGACGCGGATCAGCAGCAACTTGTAGGGAGGTTAGACGGTAATCTGTAAAAAATCCCAGATACTAGTTTTGTGTGTTTGGTTTGTTCCGTTAAAAATAAAATAAACACAGAATGATTTTTATGTTAATTTTACAAGTATGCTCCTTTAAAACTAAATTAATTCCAACACCATTTCTATTTAATTTTACAATTTTGGTAACCTTTTACTTTATTTATTTCATACTCTAGTCTTTCGACAAAATCATAACAACGCACGATGCCTCAAAAGACGCCCCCGTATCCCGGCCCAAACATGTCTCGGAAACGGTCCGCGAATCCTTCGCCTGTGAGATCGCCCTCCGTGGACATGACAGCTGTTGTCCAGAACGGATTGTACACCGAGGCGCTGGAATCAACCGCGGATGGTGTCATGCCCGCAATGGTTTCATGGCTGCCGTCGTAAAAAGTCGTCTTGCCGGACCAGCTATCCATATCGGCGGTGCCAATATCGATCTGTGGATACTGATGCGACGGGTGTGGCTGGTGTTGATAGCCACACAGCGCCATTGTCATGGGCAGTTGCAGCACCTGATGCGATGGGTGGGGCAGTTGCTGAGGCTGCTGCTGCACTGGCTCCACCGACTGACTGCGCGTGTGCAGGCGCGTACGCAGGATGGACACGAGGTGGTGGCCCATCAGAGCCGCGATGCCGTAGCGGTGGGAGGGAGTGGTGCCAGCCCGCTCTAGTTGCAGGGCCACCTGGCCAACCAGAGCTAGCAACTCGCTGTCGGCAGAGGTGGTGTCGGCAGCCGCGTAGCCGTTGTCGTGACCAGTATTGCCAGGACTGCTAGAAGTCCCTCGACGGCTGCCGCCGTAGAGCGTCGGAAACAGCGACAGGGCCAGCACGCTAGCATACGATATCATGGCCCACGTCGGCGCCAGCATGCAGTACAACGGCTCACCGAGCGCCTGCAGGTCACGCACGGCGGCCTCACAGCAGCCCACAGCCGCCTCGAAGCAGTCATGGCGGATGGCGTGCAGCTGCGTGGGGTCGCAGCTGATGGACCGGTGCAACGCAAACGAGAGCGTCCACAAACGGCCGTGCAAAAAGACGTGCAGCAGATACGCGTCGGCCACATCACTGCTCACGTCATCGTCGTGCGGCAGCCACGCCTCGCGCCACGGCTGCAACGTGGTGTCGACGAGGTTCCGTACCCAGTGGGCGTCCGTGTGGGACGAGGATGCCTGCCGACGAATGTCACGCTGCAGGTCGGCCAGTGTTCGTCGGAGCAGGATAAACGCACAAGTGTGCTTGTCAGCCGGGTGGGCCAGCGGGTGGCGCCACCAGCGGTCGACATTGAGCGTCAGGTCTGTTTCGGGGAAGCTGTGCATGCGGCCGCGGGCAGCCGAGTTGGCGCGTTCCCACAGCAGGATCCGCAGCCACGTGCGCTGGCGGTTACGAGCCAACCGGCCAGCCAGTTCCCCATCGGACTCGGCCGCATGCGTCGTCTCCATTGCCTCCGCTGCCTTCGGTGCTGGCGACTCTTCCTCGCGGTCCAATCCCAGCTCCGATCCCAGGCCAAACGCGTACATAGTATACAGCCAACTGCACTCCTCGGCCAGCGTCGCCGCCGGGTTGGCCGACAGCAGCGAAATGTAGTAGCCCTGCACAATTTCGACGCTCTTCAGGCCGCAGGCATGCACATGGTGCGACAGCTTCTCGCCGTGCAGCCGCAGCCTCTTAGCAATCGCCGCCGACGCCGGCCCGTGGTCAAACTGGGCCGTGAGGGCCAAGATCCACGTGAACAGCAAGGCAGAGCGCGCGCGCACAAAGGCGGGTGTGTGTAGGAGCGGATCCAAAATGCCGTTAATGGGGTGCAGGCGCGAAAAGTACAGAGGAAAGAGCGTGGCGGCCTCGTCCATCGTCACCAATCCCAAATCGACCGGGTCAACGTCGGGCCCGACGTCGCGTAGCGGGGCCCGCTGCGGCCGCTTAAAGTAGTTGGCGTGTGACCGAGCCGCGGGCTTCGGCGCAAAGAGCGCGTCCAGGCCCTGCTCGAGCGTGTCGCGATTGAGGCGCAGGCCGAGCGAGACGTAGCCAGGCCGGCGCAGCATCCGGCGACCAATGCCGATGCTGGAATGAATGCTGGTGTCTGTATTGTCTTCAACGTCGCCCGTGGCCTCGACGAGTGCATTTGCCGCGTCCGACGAGGCGTCGGCCAGCAGAGCCAAGGGATTACTCATAGGCTCCGGGTCGGGCTCGGGATCGGCTTGTATGGGCGAGACGAGGTCGATCGGCATGTCGGCCATGATGCCAGATTCTTGACGGTCCCGGGTGTCGGGTGGCGCAATTGGCACGCCTGGAACGGCCGTGATGGTTGGCACATCCGTGACGTGACATACGTCCAATTCTGTGGTGTCCGTAAAATCTGATACATCCCGGACAGCTGGGATCTCCGATACATCAACCATATCGGGCAAGCCTGGCAGGCCCTGCAGTGTCTCTTCGATGGCCGCCTCGACAGTTGCAGCGCCGACTGCGGAGGCGCCCTGCATCTCCCCTCGCATCTGTGCCTTTCTGAGCTCTGTCTGCATGCGCCGGTAGGCCTTCTCAAGGCCGTGGTACCGACCCGTGGCGCCGTGACGCCGTCCCAGTGGCCGAGTCTCGGGAATGGTGCAGGCGCGTTTGTTTCGTCGACATCGCTCGCAGGGCTCACCGGCGCCCTGTTCTGTGGGCCGGATGCACCGCATCTTGAGCTTGCGACACGCCTCACAGGCCGTCAGCGCTGCCGGGCGGGTGCGGCTGCTGCTCTTTCCGATGGTTGAGGATACTGACGACATGTTGAGTTGGGTGGTGTCTGCATTGGAAAACATAGGAAAAGGAGAAGAGAAGAGCCGTGCGGGGGAATGCCCCGGATTTTCTTAATAAGTGATGGGGCTACCTGGTCGGTCTTGGTCTCCACTTTATTAACTGGGTGTGTTTGGCAGCTGATGATTTATTCTTTTTCTCTTATTTCTGCTATGCCTATTCCATAATACCCCGTACATTGAGAACTGACTCAAGAAAGTAATTGCGTACTAAAATCTAATGAATCAACATTATTGTCTACTCAACGACTCCCCTGTTACACCCCCCGTCCACCGTCTACGTCTAAAATCGTCCCCGTGATAAACGAGCTCTCCTCGGAGGCCAAAAACCACGCTGCGTTGGCCACGTCGTCCGGTCCGCACAGTCGCTGCATCGGCAACAGGGCCATCAATTTTTCGAGTTTCTTGGTGCGCTCTGTTTCGTTCTGGCCCAGGCTGGCCTGCAGCATAGCCGTGTTGCCCACCGAGGGGGCAATGCCATTGAAACGAATCGTCGGCGCGTACTCCAATGCCATGGTCTTGGTGGCAATGGCCACCGCCGCCTTGGACGCATTGTAAATAGCGAATCCCACGCGCGGGCGAGTGAAACCGGTGCTGGTGATGTTGACAAAAACGCCGTGGCCTTGTTGGAGCATGAACGGAGCGATGACTTGAGCGCTCAAAAAGACGGGCCGCACGTTGACGTCAAACGTCTTGTCGTACTCCTGCATTGTCTTCGTGTGGATAAGTGCGTTGTCATATGCGATTCCTGTTGGTCAGAGATTTGTTGTTACACTTTAGTTTTTATGTATTGGAACGTTTCCTCGCTGGCTCACCCGCATTGTTGACAACGACGTCGAGGCGGCCGTAGGTCGTCTCAGCAAAGACCAGTGCCTCTTCCCAGGACGCCCGTATTGTCACGTCTGCTTTTTGGTAGTGCACATTGTCGTGCTCGTCGCCCGCCTCTAGGTCGAGTACAATAGCTTTGCAGCCTTCGCGCGTAAACCGGTTCACAATGGCAGCACCGAAGCCGCGGGAACCCCCTGTGACAATCACCACCCGTGATGCGCTGGCGTGTGGCAAGAGAGGCATGGTGGCCACTGTATGTGTACAAATCAAATTGCAAAAAAAAACCAATGAAAGTGACGATATGAACAAGTAGACATGATAAATTGTTCCCGTCAACTCTATACACAGTGGCTAATAAGCGAACCGACCGCATAGCATCCTGCCCCATGCACCCTAGTTCCCCACATGCTGATCTCCGGTTATTTATTCGTCCCCTGACTGCGTACCAGCATTTAGTCTACGGTTATTTATTTAGGCTCCGGATTCCGATCAGTCTACATTGGTCGACGATGGCGACCAAAAACCGGGAATATTACTCCGTTGACGGGGATGAGACGTAACACGTGAGGAAAGATCAAAGGAGAGAATAACGGAAATAGTATTTCGTAAGTGCAAGAAGTTAGATTGAAAGTGCCTGCCTTGATGCCAAGCAAACGACAACATAGGAAACCAATTTAGGGCTCAGAGAAAAAACAACGACGACAAGGAATAATAAAACACAAAGAAATCTGGAAAAACGGAACAGAGTTAAAATGCCCATCCAAATCGCCGTCGCGACCAACTCACTCGGCAAGTCGGCCGCGGGCCACTCAATCCTCCGAAAGCTCGAGGCCGCCAGCCATCACGGCTTCGAGGGTGTCGAGGTCGCCATGGAATGTTTGGAAGCACATGCCTCTTCTGCGTTTGGATCGCTGCCGACACGGCCTGCCCGGCTACGCGCCGCCGCCGCCGATGTCCGCAAGAAGGCCGACACGCTCGGCCTTCAGCTCGTGGTGCTGCAGCCGTTTGGGGCCTACGACGGGCTAAAGGATGCCGCCATGGTAGAAGAGCGCCTCGTCGAGGCGGAGCTGTGGTTTGACCTCTGTGCCATTCTGCGCGTCAGCATCTTTCAAATCACATCGGCGCTCTACCCTCTTGATCCTGCTTCCCTCTCACCGAATGTCGACTCGCTGGCCAGCAACATGCGCCGCTTGGGACTGCTGGCACAGAAGCGCGGCTTACGCGTGGGCTACGAGGCACCTGCCTGGGGCATCCACCTTGACACATGGCAGCAGATTGACGAGGTGCTTCGGAAGGTTGACTTGGAGAATGTCCAGCACTGCCTCGACACATTTCACATTGCTGCCCGCGTCGCCGGCGATCCTCTCAATAAACAGCATCCAGTACGGCCGGGCGGGATGGCCGCGCTGCAGCAGAGTCTCAAGGAGATGAAAAACACGCTGCTGCCGCAGCATATTGCCTACTTACAGCTCAGCGACGCCAATGCGGCGGACGCCGACCAGCCAGGGTATCCCCGCCGCGACCCCGCCCAGCCGGCCTACATGACGCAGTCGCGCAACCGCCGCGTCTATCCCGGAGAGGGTACGCTGCCCGTGTTCGAAGTGGCCAAGGCGGTGTTTGATCTGGGGTACAGCGGCTGGGTGTCCATGGAGGTGTTTCACACGGACCACTGGGATGCGCGGCCCTCGGTGCCGGACGAGTGGGCGCGGCGGGGCATGGCCTCGTGGCGCAGGGTGCGGGAGTATTGCGGGCTGAACAAGACGGGAGGGAATAAAGGTTCAAAAGGTTCACGGCTATGATAGTAGGCATTATTTTTGAATTGGCATACGACAATGTTCTCCAATACCGACATTTAGTCATCTGATCTTGATTACGGGGCAATGCTCGTACGTTGGGATGCACGGCTTCTGCAGTCGCGTCCCTTCTGTGCATGGCCAGTGACACTGTCCACGCTGACGCAAACGAGGAGAAGGGAAGGATGATCTCCCGGAAGCTGGTCAGTGACTAGGCCTTGATCAAACAACGCCACTGGTCCAGCAGGACCGGTCTTTTTTTTTATCGCCGGTCTGCCAAAATGTGCCGTTTTCGAAACAGGGACAGCTTTCAAATAAGATAAAACTTTTGAGGATGGTGTTTGCTTGTTTGATCTTGATTTCGTGACTCAGTATGAAGGCACGATTTACCGAATTGCCACGAAAATATGTCTACCATGGAAAGTTTGACGGTCGACGTTCTTGTGTGCGGAGGTGGCATGTCGGGCCTGACTTGCGCCTCGTTTGCTGCGCGCGCCGGCGCCAAGGTGCTGGTCGTCGAAAAGCAGAATGTCATCGGCGGCTCGTCCAATTACTCGGCCGGCATGTTCTGGGCCCCCAGAAATTACGACAATCTGCGTGCGTGGGTGCCATACGGCGACCCGACGCTGCAAAAGGCGTTTCTCGACGACTACCTCCCGGCCGTGCAGTGGATGCGCGACAACAATGTACCGACGGCGCCGCGCTTTGACGGCATCATGACCATTGGCATTGGCTTTCCCATAACCATCGGTGCTCTCCAGGGCATACAGCGCGGCTGGATCGAGTCCAACAACTCACATATTTGGACAGGCGCGTCAGTCGTCAAACTCGCCCAAGAGACGCCCGGTGTGGTTGGGTCGCGCGTCACGGGGGCTGTCGTGCTTCGTGGCGGCCGGCTTTACAACGTCACAGCCAAAACGGTCGTTCTCGCAACCGGTGGTTTCCAGGGCTCGCCCTCGCTGACATCCCGCTACCTCGGCCCCGGCGCCGACAACATTTTCGTGCGCGCCAACAAGGGGTCCGTGGGTGACGGACTGCGTCTGGCTGAGGGTGTGGGCGCCGGCACCAGCCGCGGCATGGACACCTACTACGGCCACCTCTTGGCAGCGCCCCTGCGCGCCGAGAACGTCGACCCCAAAGATTATTTGCCGCTGGCGCAGTACCAGAGCAAACACTGCTTGCTGGTCAACGAGGCAGGCCGCCGCTTCGCTGACGAGACCACCGGCGACGAGATCATCAACCAGTACCTGGCCCGCCAAGAAAAGCGTCGCGGCTTTTTGCTCTTCAACGAAAAGACACGCTTGCAGCACTGCGTCCGTGCCCTCTTCCCCAACGCTGGCGACATTGACCGACTGCAAAAGGCCAAGGCGCACGGCTGCCGCGTCGAGAGCGCGCCCACGCTCGATGGTTTAGTGGGTATTCTGCACAACTGGGGCGTCGACGGCGTCCAGGCGCGCCACACGATTGACGACTACGACCGCGTCGTGCGTTTGGGTGACAAAACTGTTGTGCTCGATGCCCCAGTTGGTGGAGGTGCCAAGCATGGTGCTGCTCCGCCCCCGGCCCTCGTCGACGGCGACGGGCCGTTCTTTGCCATGGAGGTTCAGCCGAGCATCACCTTTACGTACGGTGGCATCGCCATTGACGCCGAGGGCCACGCACTGACTGCCGACAAGATCCGCATTCCCGGCTTGCATGTCGCCGGCGTCGATGCCGGTGGCTTTAGCAACACGGGTTACACCGGCGGATTGTCGCTGGCCTTTGTAACCGGTTTGTGGGCCGCACGCCGGGTTGCCAGGGAGCTTAATTTGCCAGAGCCGAAACTGCCAGCTCCCCATCCGAGCGATGTCAAGGTTACGACCACGGAGGCAAAATTATAGACAGAAATCCGAAGCGCCGAGTAGGGCGTTGGAAATGACGGCGGCGGGGCAGACGAGGCATCCATGGTCACTGGTGGACATTAGATATGAACTGGGTCGATATCCTGAAAGGACAGCCTCGTTACCGATAGGGAAATATAATCTGTCACATTTAAATGACTGCTCGAGAACTACACGTACTATGAGGACCTGGCACCCATTGTCCTAGGACTTGTGCCATGCTTACCAAAACAAATAAGTACGTCTTTGAATTTCGAGTGAATAAGCCGGGCTTGTTGCCATTACCGGGGCCATACGGAGCTGAGAAAAGGTTGATTAAAAGCAATCAGAGACACACGTGCCGAATTGTCTACGGGCAACAAAAAGGCATGACAGGTCACCAACAGACACCAAGCCATGTTGGGGAAGGTCCGGAGAAGCATGTTACGACGACCACATGTGTCCATGGTGTAGAGTGCCGGAAGGCGAAGACAAACACGGCCAGACTGGAGCCATGTGCAGGTGCAATGATGGCAATGTGGCCATGCAGTCGTCATTGGTCGCCTGTACATCTGGGGCGTGCGGTATCAGATATTAGAGAAGCAGCACTAGCGCCAAGCTGCGTCATAAGCCGGGGCATTTCCAGTCACGGGCGGTCTTGTCTCCAGTGGACCTGTACAGGGCGATGCCCACACGGCAATGGACTGTCCAATGTCATCCATTTTTGCTAACTCCACCCTGTGGACCTGTGCAGGCCGATTTGGGGAAAACACGCATACCAAGAGTCGACCTGTGCAGGACAACATGGTGTGTTGTCACCGCTCTCGCCAAAATGGCCACAATGCTTGTGCAGGGCGGTGAGTGCATCATCCATTTGCGTCGATCTGTACGGGGCGACCTGTGCAGGGACAGACACGAGCATTGCGGCAGAGAGACAAAAGCCATGTGTCTGTGCAGGGCTTGTTGTGTCTCCGTCTCTTTGCGATGGTGAGCTTCTTGCTCGTTTCGTCACCATCGCGTCTCCATCTTTGTCTGCGTCTCTGTCTGCATTTGGCTGTGCAGGGCAAATCCACGCGACCATGTGTCTGCACAGGTACTTCTGCTTCTCCATATACTGCCTTTACCACGCAGGGCAAGCATGCTCCGGGGCCATGATCCTCTGGTTTCTGAGGTCGCCATGTTGACGTACAAGAAGTCGGCCGTCTCGTTTAAATTTAGACGTGTTCAGGTTGCCTCCAAACAACCCCCCTGGCTCTCCACTCGAACACACGGCTGAAGCATACCCCGATTTTGACCCTACCGCGACAATGGCCTCTATCACGTGGCTAGACAAGCTGGAGCAGGAACGTAAGTTATTCGTGACATGTTGACACACTGGCGCTTTTCTGTACCACTAACTCCCGACTATTCTTAGTCAATGTTGATGTCGACTGGATGGATCCCAACTACATCAAGTCGATGCTGCCCAAGATCCGTTTCCACGACCAGACGAGCAACCAGCTGTGGGTGGACATCCAGCTCGGCGACGAGTCCAACGCGGAACTGCTCAAGCAGACGGCCGCCGAGCTCAAGGATGCGGGCTGGCTGGCCATCTACACGCGCATGGCCGTGCTGATGGTCAAGAAGAACATTGACATGATTTCGGGTCGCGTACTGCTGCAGACACTGCCATCCAAGGCTTACGACACAGAGTTCACACTGTCGCACGCCCGTCTCCACGATGCTGAGTTCAAGCGCGCCGGCATCAGCCGCGACCGCTTCGCCATCAAGATTCCCAGCACCGGCCCTGCACTCAATGCCGCTAAGATCTTGCAGGCCGAGGGCATCCAGACTCTGGGCACAGCGCTTTTTGGCGTGCCTCAGGCTGTTGCATGCTCCCAGGCCGGCTGCCTCTACATCAGCCCCTACTACAACGACACGCGCGCCCATGACTTCCTTGATGAGCTGTGGCCCAATGTCAAGGACCCTGCCAAGGAACACCCCAACTCGCCTCGTGTGGTGCAGATCCTCGAGGTCTATCGTCGCCTCTACAAGGCAACCGGCAAGGAGCAGCCTCTACTCAAGAACGCCAGTATCATTTCGGCGGAAGAGGCCCTGGCTGCCAGCGAAATGGGCTGCCACTCAGTCACCATCTCGCACACGGTGCTCAACGAGCTGGCCTCGCGCACGTACGATGCCTCGACGCAGCCTGGTCAGGGCATACCGAAGACGGCTCTGCAGTACCGCGACGGCTCGCCGGCCGTGCCTGCGCGTCTACAATCGCTGCTGACGATCGACCCGCTCCGCGAGGACGGCAAGCCACAGTTCACGCTTGACAAGGCTGTTAAGATTGATTACCTTGCCGAAGGCGGCAAGGCTCTCGAGGCCGCCATTGCCGCTGACCCGACTTCGAAGAAGCGCCTCGAGGTCGCTCTGGAGCTCTTCACACGCGGTGAGAACCGCAGCAAGGAAAAGGTTGAGAAGGCCCTGGCTGCTCTGTAAGCATTGTTCGACGAGACCAGATGATGAAAAATTCATGGAAAGAGGAACATAGAAAATACAAGCGTCGATTTATCCCAATTGTGCCATATTTAAGCAAAACAAACAAAGCTCAGTTCGACGGAACTATCGCAATCGTCTCTCGTATCATGACACCGTCCATAGAATCTCCTCTGGCGGCTGCATTAAAGCCTGCTGCCGGCTGTAGTCTGATGTATTGACCACAATCACATCTTCAATATCGTGACGCCCATCGTTTCTCGGCCTTTCCGGTGGCATAGAAGGAGCTAGCGGCCCCATAGAGCTGGAAACAAGTTGTCCGATATCTGTATCGTCAAAATTGCTCCAGGAAAGCGACACGTCTGCCTCTCCCATATCTCTATCCATGTCGAACGGAGGTGTCCAAGACCAGTTGACAACGTCTGATACACCATGGTTCATTTCGCCCTGTGGCAGCGACAATACTGCACTGTCAAGAAGAAGAGCAGGTGCCGTTGGATGTTGCTGCTCTCGGGGCATCGCAACAGAGAGAGACATTGGCAGAGACATTGACAAGGGTGGCGACAGTTCCAGCTCTGCTTCACTCCCCGGACCTGAGCGCGACGTATCTGCAGCAGGAAAGCCAGCCTGTGTGCGCCACCGCGTCACTTCGTCGCGCAGTTCATCGCGCTCGCGCGTTAGGGTGTCGATCTGCCGGGTCTGCTCGTGGTGTCTGGAAATGGACTCGTGCACCACCGTATGTTTGGACAGACGGTCGATGTCGGCGCCTGCCAGGCTGGGCAGCATCTCGGCGAGTTCCTGTAGGGTGTCAGTATAAGCGGTCTTGCAAATACTGCGCACCGAGATCCCCACATACGATCAGCTTCTCGCGAAAGGCCTCGCGCCGCCACCGTTCAAATATGCGGTGGGCCGCGCGGTCGTCGGACGTAAATTGGCGAACCCGCTTGCGCGTCTTTTCCTGTGTGGCGGTCCCACTGCCATTCTTGTCGTCGTTGTCGTGGCCCTTGCTGCTCTTGTTGGACAGCGCCGTGTCATCGGTCATCTGCGATCTCTGGCGGGCCCGAGCAAGGATCGACAGCTGTGCCGGCATCTGTGTAATTTTGTTGACGTTGTATGCAGGACTCGTTAACAATCGAATCAAGTAACGTGACGACTCCTGGCGCAGGGCACCGCGTGGCAGGGCAGAGGCATACGATGGTCTCGGTGCGCGTGTTCGGAACGTGTTAAGGTGACTGATGCTTCCAGCAACGGACGGAAATGTGTCAGTACGAGATAGAATGATAGTGACAAAAGAAGGCGGCAAAAAATGTCGAGGAGGAAAGCGAGGGAAAAAAAAAAAGAAACAGGGTAAGGGGGTGCGTGACGTTGGTACAATAACCGTCTCCACTTATGCATCCTTCTTCTTTTATGGCCAAAGGCTCTGTGATCTAGCCACCACCATCTGCTTCAGACCAGGTTTCGTTGTCCCCTCCCCTTTTTCTCTCATTTTCCTTATGCCTCCCCTCGTTTTCAGCGTATCTAACGCCAGAATGCCCTGTTTACCCCAGCCACTGCCGCTAATCAGCGTGCGGAGTCGGACTGGCGTGCGTTGGACTGACTCTCCCCACTTCATCAGCTGACACTGATGACTCGGCTGCGTTGCGAGCACGTCAACCGTGGTCTAGAGAGGCTAAACTAGACAAAGTCCAAGTTGATATGTGAAGCAATACGTTGTCCATTGTGACCAAGTAGTCGCGACATCCATTCATATCACAGCTGCATGTGCCACAAATCGACATCGCAACGTCTTCACATATAGTCGATGCAATTTCGCAAGCCGGTGTACAATAGACAACGAGATAAAAAGGGTATATTTCAGAATAGAAAAATGAGCTTCGACGGATCTATAACATAGCTCCGACGTAGCCTGGACAAAGCGCCTCTAACGACAGCTATTCAATATCGTCACACAACGAAAATAGTCCATCCAAAACAACTGCCAGGTGTGCCACGTCTCGCCCTTCCGGCGCCCACGCCTTGAGTATATCACGTACGAGCTGGACACCGTCCTTCCATCGCGGCGGCAGCAGCGAGTCGGGGAGAGTAGAGCCTGGCGACGAGGCACTGTTTGCAGCATTGCCAACGCCAAACCCGTGCATGACGGCCAGGTCCCGCTGTTCCTGCAGGGCTAGTCGTGTCCCGATCAGAGCAAGAGCACTGCGAGTACAGCTGCGGATGGCAAGCCATGAGCCCTGGTGCCGATGGGCGAGCCCGTTTGCATTCGCTTCGATGCGGTCGACAGAGTTGCGGAGGTAGTCACGCACTAGTCGGACGAGATTCTGTCGCGTGGCTTCGGCGTATTGGCTGACTGATGCGGACGTCCAGGCGTTGAGGGGCGCCAGCGGCGACTCGAGTTTCATGACTGCAGCAAAGGCGGGGAAGCGCAGCAGCTCGACGGCGTCAATTCCATGGCCACGAAGCACCCAGGGGAGGATATCAGATGGAGGCTCCCGCCACGAGTCGGGAAACCGCATGGCCGGCGGCAGCAGCTGCATCCATTGCTCCAACTGCAAGTCGAACTCCGTCGTGTCTAGTACTGCGGGGTCGATCTGCATGTTAGGCTCGTCTGTGCCGTTGCTTCCCTCCTCGGTGTGTGGTCTAGATGCCTGCTCTACGTCGGCACCGAGTCCCAGCAAATACCGGCTGTTGATGATGCGGTACATGAGCCGCTTCAACGTAATCTCAGCTAAGAAGAAGAACCATCCAAAGGTGAGGTGGGACCGATCGACCTCAGGCTGGTTCGTCACGAGAAAACCGCCACTGTCGACGCTCAGCTCGCGGCCATCGATCTCCATGTCGGGCACGCAGGGGAAGACGTGCGGATAGCGGATGGCATTGATGCCAGATCCAGGCAGGCCGAGCTCCAGCCGCAGTTCGACTTCGCTCTTGAGGACGCTCCAGTAGAGCGCATCCTCCAAAGCTCGCTCGGTTGACGTAGAGGGCACATCGTCGCGGCGCATCGGCGCAGTGAGACCGTCGCCATTGCCGAGGTTGTTTCGTGGGACGTTGGGGACGGTATCGACGCGGTTGTGGGCGATAAAGTAGGAGACACAGCTGGAGCCTGCCTGGACGAAGGCCCTCCATGCTGGTAAGATTCGTAGCGTATGCATCAAGTAGACACCCGTCAGGAAACCGCACCGGGCAGCCAGCAACGAGTCGGTGCATATCAAGCATCCCATTCTCTGCTGCGCCTCGTGAAAGTAGGCCTCGGCGATAGAAAAGGCCGGATCGGTACGGTCGACCTTCACGCGGCGGCTGGCTGTGGTCTCGGTGAACGGTATCGATAGAGTGGAGACTGCAAGAACGAGATACTAGAGGAGCAGTGACGTGAGTCGAATGTTCAGATGCAAACAGGTACAAGCAATAGTAGCAATTACAAGAGAAGAAACACAACGTATTCCCCTGGTAATCACACACCATCAGACAATTTCGGCCGGTCCAGGCCAGTGGAGACGCCGCAAAGATCTCGGCATCGGCGCGCAGTGCGGCCGGGCCCAGAATCGGGTTCTTCAAATTATTGTTGACGAGGAAGTTGTCGACGAGCTCGAGAACGCGTGTGCGCCTGATAAAGTCCGGCTGGCCAAATGAGTCGAGCGGCTTCAGCGGCATGCCGTCCAAAGTGTCATTGGCGGCGCTCGAGGCTGGCGTCTCCATGAGCGAAACAACGGACACGTGCGGTGTGATCTTGAGGGCGTCCAGCTTTCGTTTGAACACGGGCCAGCGCAGCATCGCCTCGATGCCCATGTCAGCCGACGCGTTGAGCATGGCTTCGGTGCCAATGGGCATGTCCGTGTCGGTCTGCACACGGGCGGCATAGCGATCAAAGGCCTGGCGCGCGCTGCGTTTCTGTGCTCCGTTCTGTCCACCATCGCTGTTTCGGTGGGGCTGGGCATAACTAGAGTCGGGGCCAAAGCCGTAATACACCGATGCCGGCTTGTCGAGCGTCGTCGGCGAGATGTGGTCATCCGTCCCGTCGAATGGCCCGTGGAGGTTGACCGGCATCGAGGAGCCAGAGAAGCCACCAGCAATGCCTCCGCGACCATTCCTGGTTCCAACCGACGACTGCCGCGAGTCTTGAGAGGGACTTTGCCCGGTAACGGCTTCTGGCTGACGCTGTTGCTGCTGTTGCAGAATCAACGTGTGGCCCTGCACAATCAACTTGAGGTCGTCGAGCTGCTGCAGGATGGCGAGACTGGCCGGGTCGAATCGAGACCGCTCCGGCTCGGCGTAGTGGCAATCGCCGCCTGTTCGTTGGCAGAATCCACAGATCGGTCGCACATTGTCACATTTGGTCTTGCGTGTTCGGCACACCAAGCAGGCCGACGGCGCTTTGGTGCGCTGGTACGAACCGCCAATGCGGCTGGGCGGTGCCGGCTGTAACGAATCGCCCGACTTCCGGCGCCGTTTGGCTGACGTCGACGACGGTGCGTCGTCGAGTGTAAAGGTGGACTGCATGGTATTGTCGGTAGGTAGTTGTGTGGTCAGTGGACAGAAAAGCAGTGGAAAACGGTGAACTGGGAATTTGAGTTACATGCAGTGAGACTTTTGTGGGGGAGTTGTGGACTGGAAAGGGGAGGGGCTCTATGGGAACGTAGAGTGCTGTGGAGTCCAAGGTGTGGTCTCATGTCACAATTCCTGGGCGCTGGGGGACTCGGCTTTTCGTAGACGTCCACGGCGCGTTCATCACACTAGCTGTGAACCTGGCCGCCGTTTCTTACCCCGCATTCCCGACAAACAGCGGACACAATTGCATCTCGCCGGACACTACGAATTACTGGCCCTGAAACCTGAAGCCTGATGCCTGCTTCTGGATTTAATCCAAGTACGAGTTATCGACTTGTGACGCCAATAATGTTGATGTATTTCATTTTGACATTGAAATTTTTATGTCTTCGTTGTGAAAGTAGTAATTGTAAGCTTTCGTATGACTTGGTTTTCATTGAAAAAGTAAATAGGAGTTAGGACGTAACTGTAAAATTTTATTAAGAAAAAAATAAAAAAAAGTAAATTCCAAAACCATAAAACTTAAAATTAAAATTAAAAAAAGCAGTAAGCCTCAATGGCAAAATTCAAGTTAGAAACACAGCAACGAATTTTGATATAATCCCATCCTTTTTTTTGGAAACCCGTTACTGTAGACCAACACCACAGAATTGCATCTCGGAATGTCCACCTAGGCCAATGAAAACACTGAGGAATCACGTCAAGGCGGGACATTTGGGACATGCCGCAATATGACAACGTCAAACAACAGCGTCTATGATACATTTTACCGGGGTCCCGTTATGCCCGCAAGGAACTGAAAGAGTAACGATATGTTTCTCCGTTTTCTCACCAAAAGATGAGTTTGAACCAAATCAACGCTCCGAGATGATAACGGAGATGTATATGAACACCTAGACAATCAAAAAACGATGTCACAGTGAAGCTGTTGTAAGAGCCCAAATTTCAGAGATTTTACCATGAAGATAGTTGTGACAAGAGTATATAGAATTTGCGTAGAGTTTTGTTTATACCGTACGCTTAGTTGTTGTGAAGTGAATCACCGTTGGAGAATGCGCGTATTTTATACGTAAAGACGCACTTGGTCTCTATACGTGGTACACAGGATGACATCGGACAATGTAGGAATACACGTGCAGTAAATAAAATGAAATTAGTAAATAGCAACTATACGTTGTACCAGTCCGCGACCAAAAATGCCGTATGTTGCGACTACCGTATTTCGCCCCACGGCTTCACGGGCCATCGTTGGAGAGTTAACAGGTGCCAAAGGGAGGTTCATCAAACCACACCTCGGAAGCACAGACGGTGGTGTATGACCGATGAGACCCCGACCATTCGTAAGGCTGTCGATGAGGGTGAGTTGAGCAAAGGAGATAGTGATCTGGATGACCCGCTAGGCGGTCTGCAGCATCGTGACGTTATCCTTGGCTTCGTGCGTATTTTTAGAGGTGTTCGTAGTGAATTTCGACCGGATCGGCACAACGCTTCCGGGCAACGCGGTCCTAGTCATTAGCCAATCTCACCACAAAGGATGAGTACGATGTTGAGGTGTATCAGCTTCGAGGCTATGCAGGACAGGTCTTGTTAAGTCGGATACCTTTGCACATCAGTCAAGGCTTGCCCACTCTTCGTCAACTGGTATGCACGCAGTCGCTCCAACTTATTGCACTTACCAGGGCCGTGGTTGAGTGCCTCGTCCAGCGTGCCTCGACAATATCAGTTGAGCGCCGTGTACGGCTCCGTGATGACTGGCTTCTAGGACCCATGAACTTGTTTATGCCAAAATGGCTTTGTCTCTTCGGCCGTTCAAGTCGGGTCCCAGCACCGCCGCCACTGCTCGAGTTAGCCCAAGTCGTCCTCCCAGTGGTGTTTGGCCTCAAAGATGTCTCTCGGGTAAAATGTCACGGGAATCTGCTTCTATTGGAAGGCATTGACGTCGTCGATGTGGAAATCGTCTTCGTCGGCACCATGTTTGTTGACCAGTTCGTCAATGCCACCATAGATGAGCAGCGCGATATAGGACACCTCGCGCAATAGTGTCGTCTTGATGGAGGGCATCTGCCGTCGGGTATTTAGTGAAAGAGATTAAGTCAGCGGATGAACACAGAATTGGATGAACACAGAATTGATACTCTGCCAAAGTAAACCCAGGCAATTACGAACATAACAGGCTACATTTCAGATGTAGGCACGGAGACTAGAATAGCTCCCGACAGTCCGTCGGCTCGGGGCTACCAATACAACGGGCAGACGTTCTACCGCGTCTGCCCCGTTTTTGTGGGGGGCGAGCTATGCCATGTACAGCACCTCGTTCCTCTGTCACAGCCATACATAAAATGCTGGCTCTGGCATCTCCTTCGGTGCATACTTCGGCTTCTGTGCAGCTGTTACGTAGCGTATTGGTGGTGTGTCCAGGAAAGACTGGTGTGGACGGGCCGATGCCAGTACGTGGTTCAGCTGCAATTCTGGCTGCTGTGACTGTCCGTCAGAACTAGACCGTCAAGGCCGGCCACGTCACCGACGGAAGCTACATTGCATTTACTGTCCTCGAGGCTGTCGGTGTCGTTTTGGGCTGCTTCCTGGAACCAAGTGAGTAGATTATTCGCAGCGACGGCACGCGTGTGTAGAAGGGGAACACAGTCTGAAAGCCATATTATCAGCTTGCGGACCACCTTTGAGAACAATGTGTAGGTGTTGTTGCTATTTCGGAAACTAATAAGTGAGTTAAGTATGTCGTATTCCCCGTTTATGTTTTCTCTCCGAGTCCACATAATCCGAAGCTGACTTGCTTATCTCCACTAACCTGTCTTGGCTAACTATCACTCATATTGCTTCTCGACGAGGACGTGGTCGCACACCTAGTAAGCTGCGTAGCTGCACAGCTATGTTGTCGGAAGGAACGGAGCAGTTGTCTTCTGAGCAGCTTGCGCTAACACCAGCTCACGCCTGGTGACAAAGGCATCCAGCACACTTGGTAAGCTGCACAGGTCGTCAGACCTAGCAGATTGTGCTGACGCCGGCTCACTTCGCCCACATCAGCGGCTAACTCCGTCTTCGCCTAGACCGCAAAGCCCTGTGAATCAGTAGTCCTCTTGCGAATCAAACATTTAAGAACGCTTGGCACCCAAACTGCCCATGTCGATCGTTGACACGACGCGATTAACGACGCCCCCTCTCATTATGTCTTCATCGCAACTCCCACCGCTTTCGCTGACCTGTGAGGTCAAATTCCCCAGCAAAGACGACAATCTCCATGACCATGTTGTCCGTTGGTCCGACATCCACGTCAGCGTCCCGGCTGTCGTCGTGATTCCCGAGTCTGAATCAGATGTCGTTGCGGCCATCGTGTATGCCAAAGACAACAGCCTCCGCGTTGTCGTCGCCGGTGGCGGTCATGCTCCCTTCATTCCCGTGACAGCCAAGACACTCTACCTCGACTTGCGGCGCTTCAAGTCGATTGTCCTAGACGAGGGTGCATCGACAGTCACCATCGGCGGCGGCGTGTTGACTGGCGAGCTGCTCACATATCTTCTCGAGCGCGGCTTCTACGCTACGCTTCCCAACTCGTCTGCTGTCGGCGTTGTCGGCGCTGTTCTGGGTGTGGGCAATGGGCCGTTTAACAGTCTGCACGGGTTCATGGCCGACAACGTCGAATCCGTGCGCATTGTCACTCTGCCGAAGGAAGGTGCCGCAGCGTCGCGCAATATCAGCCACTCGTCCACCGGTGCCGACGAGCGCAGCTTGTTTGCGGCCGTGTGTGGCGCCGGTCATGGCCTTGGCGTGATCGTCTCTATGACGCTGCGGGCCTACAAGGTTGCAGATCTGCGTCTCGAAGGGGGAGACCAGGTGTGGAACCGACGGGGCGTCTTTCCCGCTCCTGCCATTCGGGATGCGGCCCGGGCCTTCGTGTCGCTCCTGCCTTTAACGGGCCCTGCGAATGCAACCCTGTTGATTGCACGCAGCCCACCGAATATGCCACGCCCAGGATCGCCTATTGCCTTGCTGGTTGCGGCGCACTTTGGTCCTTCTGCAGAGGCGGAGGCATCGCCAGCTGCCAAGATCCTCCTCGGTGAGGATTTTGCTGCCAAGGCCGCCGTGGCGGTCACAGAGGGTGTACCGTTGGCAAAACTGAATGCCTCGACCGAGCCGTTCAATGCAGTTGGTGGATCCAAGATTCTGTCTGGCACTTATCTGCACTCCATCAACGAGGACGTCATTGTGTCGCTGTTTGAGCGCTTTGTTGGCTTCACCAACGAGCGTCCCGACCTATGGAACACGTACATTGCCATCCCCACCTGGAACACGACCAAATCTCTGCAGCTGGGTGCCTCTCCGGAGAGAAAGGACAACTTTCATGTGGCCCGCGACCGCAATGTGCTCGTCCTTTCGGCCGTTTGGTCCAAGACCGGCGGTGCCGACATCGAGTCCGAGTCCAGTACATACTCGGCAGAAATTCAGGAGATCGCTGGTCGTGAAGAGTCTGGCCCATTGATTGGCTTTGCGAACAACCTGGCATTCCCTGCCAAGTTGGCCGACTACTATCCCGCAGACAAGGTCGACGAGCTAGCACGGGTTAAGACACAGTGGGACCCCAATGGTCTTTTCTGGAGCCCGTCCATGGGTGTCGAGTGAGCAGAGTATGGTAGCAGATGTTCGGGTGGTCCTGCCGCACTGATCCCGACCATATTGTTATTCGTTCCGGTCAAGGATATTGCGACGACCTATGGGATCATGGCGAACGAAACAAGGATTATGCTAACCCAGAAGGAAATTAGTTAGGTGCGTACTCGGTACGGAATTCATTCACGGTCAATAATGGTCGTATGTAACGGTGGAGTGTGGTTATTTGAAAGTACGTTTTATTTATATTTAATTCTGTTTATTATTATTATTATTATTATCCGCCTTCCTCAGCCAGTCCTGGCTATTGGCGACTAACTAGACAGAACCCTCATAGGGAAAAAACTGTCACAGATCTAAGTGGGTGGTGTTTCTATAGTACAGGTACGTGTAGTGGCCCGAGTGGTCACTTTTAACAAGTAGACAAATAAAATAAAACAAATAAAACAAAACAAATAAAACAAAGGAATAATGTGTAAATGTGGGTGTGTTGTGTTACACCGGCGACGGCGTCCGTTTTAACTCCTTAACTAGGTTATACTCCGGGAGCCTCCCGCTCCGAATAAACTAACGGAGAAGTGGACGGACCGTAAAACCCGTTTATAAACGACGGTCTAGGTCCGTTAGTGTTTATAACTAGTCTGACGGTTTTTAAGGTGTTACTGTATAAAATAAAAGGACGTAGGCCGGGGTCTCGTTTATAATACCGTATATATATATCGGGGAACCTACGGCGTCTTTCCGGTAAAGGTACGTCCGGAGGTCGATATAACCCGTGTGGATCTACGTAAAAAGGTTACTCTCGGTCTTAGTTAAGTAGAGGTAACGGCGCCGTACGGCCTTTACCGTTTAATATAGTGTTCGTACCGTAAAGGATCCCGTAAAGTGACCGTTACCGGCGTCTTATTATTAAAGAACCTTTTAACGACCGGTAACGGTAGTCTAGTCCGTCTCTTCGGGCCTAAACGGTAGGGGTAGGGCGGGGATAAACGGGTAATAATTAGTAAACGGTTAAGGACGGTGGACTACACTTCGAATAACTTAAGTTTTTACTTAATAGTCCGGTCGGGATAAAAAGACGGTGTAGTAGTAAATTAAGTAAAAGTTTAATAATAGTATACTTACTTCGGAGTAAAAGAGGTAAATAAGTGTAAACCGGTAAACCCTTAAGACGGTACGGAAGTAACCGTAAAAAATAATGTTTAAAGAGTTCGTTAACCGACGTACTATAAGTTACTATACTCCGAAGTACTACCGTATAAATCGTACGGACCTACAGGAACGTATAACTCTACGTCTTCCCGGTAAGTCTCGTAAAAGTATAACTCTATATAGTAAGACTGTAACGGGCCAAGGGCCCGAGGATGGCTAAGCGGTGCGTAAGCCAGTGGCCAGACTCCCGGACTTCTGATCAGACACCTGTGGGCCGGGGCATGTGGCGGTGCGGTGGCTGGGGAGCCGGACCCCTGATCAGAAGTCCACGAGTGGGACCAGAAAAGGGGGTTGTTTACCCAGCCTTACGCTTCTTGTTTTCTTTCTCCTTCTTTATCGATATTCTTTTATTCAATTCAGGAACTAGCTTTTCGCCAAAGTATTCATCCTAGGTGTCTACGCAGCGATCTCCCCTAACGGACCCTTACAAAGACGACGTTTTATTTACCGAAGGTGTGTCGAGAAAAGGAGTTTCTTATCGAACTAGATACTAAGGAAACGGACCGATTATTAAGGTTTAAGGACGGTATCCCGGTCGAACGTAAACGTTGTCGTCGGAACTACGTATATACGGGAAAAGTAAAGGAGTTCGTTCTTTACCGACTCGAATATAACGTCTTTCGGTCGTATCTACACTTTAACCGTAGTCTACGTATCCTATAAGTAATAGTAGTAAACGTTTAACGTACGGTTAATAACGAAGAGATTAGTATCGTCGGTGAACTTAATAGTAATAATCCCGTAGTAGTAACGTAAGGTTTAGTAAAGAAATAAAGTAAAAAGAATAAATAAGATCGGTAATAACGGGGACCCTTACGGGACACCGGTAATAATATAACGTATCGGTATTATCTTTCCGTCGAAAGTAAACTCCGTCGTTTAACCCGTTAAATAACTAGTAACTTAGTTAATAATTTAAACCGAAAAGTAAAGAGTATATAACGTGTAAATAAACTACCCGTAATAAACGTTATCGAATACGTCTTAAATATCGAGTTAAAAAAGGGACGTTATATTACCGAGACTTTATACGTACCGTATAGTGTCGGTAAAAAGACGGACCGTAAACTTTATCGACTAGTAATACCGGTTACTTATTTAATCCTTTAAAAGAAGACTATTCTCCTCCGTCGTATCGGTAAACCGACGGACTACGATAACCTCGATAACTTTACTAACGGTACTAAAGAGTGTAATCGGACGCC